GCAGAGCCTGTTGGGTGGCTTCTGGGCTCAGCCGGCGCGGTGCCGCCTGGGAACGCTGTGCCGGCACCTCCCCGGCGCTGCCGAGAGCTCCCGACCCCCCCAAAAGTGACGGTGGCAAAGCCACCACGTTGTCACCTGCTTGCTATTGAGTCCCATGGGGTGACACCGAGGGTCCCGGCGGGGGGGCCCCACCGCCCGGCGCTGCCGAGAGCTCCCGACCCCCCCAAAAGTGACGGTGGCAAAGCCACCACGTTGTCACCTGCTTGCTATTGAGTCCCATGGGGTGACACCGAGGGTCCCGGCGGGGGGGCCCCACCGGGGGCCCTGCCACCCTGCCAGCCCCCCCAGCTGGCGTGGGACAACATGGCCGGCACCATCCACGGCATGGCCACCCCGTGGGACACCCCTGTCCCCTGCCAGCGCCGGCGGCGTGGTGACGTGAGCTCTGCCCTATTTTAAAGCCACCGCAGATAACGCATCCGCTCCCGGCGCGCAGCCCTCATCAGAGCTCACCAGCCGGGGAAGGGGGACAACGACAGGGGACACTGCCATCGAGGTGACGCTTGGACCGGTGGCATCACCCGCTGCCCTGGGCTCAAGCCTCAAAACAAGCCCGGCAGCGGGACAGCAAAAGGTTGACGCGGGCCGGGGACGTGTCCTGCCAGCTTCGTCCTCGCCGGGTGCTTGGGGATGTCACCACGACAAAGGCCAGCATGGTTTTGCGGCGTGACCCAGCTGGGGAGGTGACACCGAGGTCCTGCCTCGGCCCCGGTGCCTCTCAGAGGCGACACGGCCACCCCGTCGGTGTGGCACGGGGAGCATGCACACCCCAACAGAGTGGCACAGTCACCGTGCAAGGGCGCCCACCCTGACAGCGTGTCCCATGTCCCCGCGCGGCAGCACGCAGCATGTGTCCCCAAGGGAGCGTGCGCACACCGGTGGCACGGGACCTGTCCCCGTGCGAGTGTGCACACCCCGACAGCGGCGCAGGCATCCCTGCGCAAGCTTGCACACCCCGACGGCACCGCACGTGTCCCTGTATGACCACGCACACCAACACCATATCACGTACGACCACGCACACCCCAATGGGGTGGCACCTGTCCCCATATGACCACGCACACCTGATGGCATGGCACGTGTCCCCATATGACCACGCACACCCAACACCATGTCACGTACGACCACGCACACCCCAATGGGGTGGCACCTGTCCCCATATGACCACGCACACCCCAACAGTGTGGCACATGTCCCCATACCACCACGCACACCCGATGGCACGGCACGTGTCCCCATACGAGCATGTACGTCCGTGTCTCCTCTGTGACCGCGCACACCCGATGGCACGGCACGTGTCCCCGTACCACCACGCACACCCTGATGGCGCAGCACCTGTCCCTGTCCGGGTGTGAACACCCCAACGGCATGGCACGCGGCCCCGTCTGACCACGCACACCCTGATGGCGTGGCATGTGTCCTTGGCACGAGCTTGCACACCTTGACGGCATGGCACGTGTCCCTGTACACCCGATGGCATGGCACGTGTCCCCTGTATGAGCGTGCATACCCCAATGGGGTGGCACCTGTCCCCATACGACCACGGACACCTTGATGGCATGGCACGTGTCCCCACAGAACCATGGACACCTCGACGGCATGGCATGTGTCCCCATATGACCATGGACACCCCCACGGCATGGCATGGCACATGTCCCCACACAACCACAGACACCTCGACGGCATGGCACGTGTCCCCATACAGCCACGGACACCTCGATGGCACAGCACCTGTCCCTGTGCCAGCACAAACACCAAAACGGTGTGGCACATGTCCCCGTACGACCGTGCCAACCCGCCAGCGTGGCACGCGTCCCCCATACGACCGTGCCCACCCGTCGGCGTGGCACGCGTCCCCCGTACGACTGTGCCCACTGGCCAGCGTGGCACGCGTCCCCCATACGACCGTGCCCACCCGCCGGCGTGGCACGTGTCCACTGCACCCCCCCCCCCGGCCCCACCC